TTGTACGTGGCTTTTTCCCGAGTGACTCATCGTGATGACCTTAAGGTTTTAACTCTAGACGATGATAGACAAACTTCTGTTATTACTACTAATGTCGTCTACAAAGAGGTTTTCAACAATGTGTAATTCAAAACAGTTATATTATGTATTCTTCTTGCACCAATATAACAAAATTGTTACATATGTACATATTACATATATATTCCGTTACACAAATTTCTATAGCTAAATTACTACACATAAAGATAATGAGAGCAATTAATTCAATTCTGAAACATTCATACAAACATTAATTCAACGTTCAAATTTACACTATCGAATATGAAGCAAATTATAATTCACATATTATAACGAATACATTCCGTACATCGCACAGGTGCAAATACTAGTTAGTGTAATAATCTAACGTGTATTTTTGAAATAAAATTTATTTTAGTCTTTATTTCCTTTTTGTCAAATGTATTAAAATAATTTTCACTGCGTAATGACCAATCAATTATATTCTACCGATTTCAAATGCATCTTTCATCAACAAAATGTAACACCATTGGTAAATAGAAATGTGAACGATGTGTTGTAATTGCAGTCTTTTTTCTTTCGTCAACAAAATATAACTATCAGCCAAATATTGCCTCTCCTAAACTAGCAAGGGTGGATAAGAAGGAACACCAAAACCTATACGTACGATGCTATGTTAGTGTCTAATTGCATTGTATCCTTTGACTAAGCTATATCAAGAGTCAAGTTAAGTTGGTTCAATATGATGTTGACTTCTCGTAAATTTACTAAAGTTTAATTTGAATTAAATTCAATTAAGTAATACTTATGGATGTGATTAAGATGGCACATGTTTTTTCCACTTTAATTAAGAAATTTTTGGTTCGGGCAAGAAAAATTCAGCTATCTCTGATTAATAGGAAAATTCGCAGTCGCAATAAGAAGATGCACATCACTATGTGAAACTCATCTTATAGACGTAATCAGTAAATGATCATAAAAAGATAAATTAGTATTAATTTTCTTTATGGAAGAAAAAAAAAGGTATAAATTTCTCATAACTGAATAATAATTGAATGATTCAGATCAAGAAAATATTTTTATTTGCAAACGTTTTTGTTTGGGAGATGGATGTTTCCTTCAAGCGCCATGTCGTCTCGTGGTTTTCAGTTCAATCGTGTGCGTTCTCACCTGCCATCGACGATTCGACGTCGGCGCACGCTCCGGCAATGTGAATGAGATTCGGGTTTCTTTGGACGTTTTGGTTGTTTATTTTTAATTATTTGGTTCCTTCTTGCTATTATTACTCCTTCAAGATTAGAATTTATTTTCCATTTGATGCTCATTGCATCCCCACAACAAAAGTCAAAACACGAATCCCATTTATTTTAGGAAAATGATACATTAAATTCCCAAAGAGTTAAAGTATCATCATATATTATAATTTTATTAATAAAAGAGAAAGAGTGTAATACAAACTATGACTCATCATTTGTTCGGAATGAATAAAAATGTCATGTAAGTAGAAAGTAAAAAGTGAATTATAAATTATAAATAAATAAATAAATAAATATATATATATATATATATATATATATATATATATATATAAATAAGAGCCTAAGAGAGTTAGGTCTATAATGGGTAGAAAAAATGGCGGTTAAATTTTTTAATCAAATGAATAGCTCAGATTGATCAGATTTTAATTTTTTCTTAAGATTTCCTAATTTATCATTAATGAATGTGATTTTCCATTAACTTTTTCGTTAAATATTATATTTTTCGTTAATTTCTGTTAGTTCACCGTTAACTTACTCATTGATTTTAATAAGAATTTAAAGGTCTTAGGTTCGAACTTCATCCCAATCAAAGTTGGCATAATTAATATTTTATTTTACTCTTATTAAATTAATTAAAAATTATAATTTAGTAGCTACAACAAAAAATAATACATATCATTTTTAATTTAGAATTATGTGTCTAAAATGCCTTTATTCAAAAAAAAAAAAAATATATTCATTATCAATAAATTAAATAAGAGAAATAATTTCATTAGTTATATTGTATTTATTTTTCTCCAATATAAAAATTCTTTATATTCAAATTCATCAATTGATTATATTTGCTACATTGTCCCACCAATGTCTTTATTAAAAAAATAATTCATTATTAATAAATTAATTAAGAGAAATAATTTTATTAGTTACATTGTCTTTATATTTCTCCAATGTAAAAATTCTTTACATTCAAATTCATCAATTGATTATATTCACACATTGTCTATTACCTTTTTTTGTGCACTATTTTTTTTAATTAAATATCAAAGTTATAATACAAAATAATGCTATATATTTATTTACCAAGTATTTTATTAATACCATGAAAAAAATAAAAAAAAATATAATTAATAAAGCTAATCATATTAATTACTTGAAGGATTTGTTGACAAAGAGACTATTCAAATCACACAACAAATTGAAGTGAGAACAAGATATTTGACCAGCGAATTATATCAATGGTTGGTAAAAAGATATTTGAAAAAATTAGTTGTTTAGATTAACATGTAAAATGACCTAAGGGTATGATATAATAATAATAATAATAATAATAATAATAATAATAATAATTGTTTTAAAAAAATAAAAAAATAAAAAATATAATTAAGTCAATCATATTAACTACTTGGGAGATTTATTGACAAAAAGAGTATTCAAATCACACAACAAATTGAAGTGGGAAACTATCTCGCAATGTCCTTGTTTGGCAATCGATCAGTAGTTAGCTCTTCAATATTAGTATATACGGAGTATTTAATAATTTATGCCCTAATTTTTATTTTCTCTCCCTTATGTCCTGTATTTGGTTTCAACCATACCTATACAATTATTTTATTGACAACTATAATCAATTTTGACTATATTATCTTGCATTTGTAAACTTAAAATTGCCTATTTAAATACACAAATTTAACATTCAATTATCTATGCATTAACAATTCCAATATAATCTTGTATTGATATACTTTAAAATACTTATTTAAAAAAATATTGGGCATTATCTCAATCGCGCAATGCGCGTAAAAAACTAGTATATATATAAAAGTTCAAATGCGATTGGTGCGCTCAGGTGCAATTGTGTGGTTAAATTTGAGTCATTGATCTTGTTTAAATCAATGTTCAGGATTACTAAAATTATAAAAAAATAAAAAATAATAATAAAAAAAATACGGTGACAATTTAGTAATTTTTGCATCTAGGTCAAATTTAATGTGTGTGAGTTTTGTGCTTAAGGTGTGTGGATTTTGTGCTTAAGGTGCATGGGGTTTATGCTTAAAGGTGTCTGAGTTTTGTGCTTAAGGTGCGTGAGTTTTGTGCTTAATGTGAATAGTTGTTGAAACTTAAGGTGCGTGATTTTCCTTCTTAAGGTGCGCGGTTTTCCTTCTTAAGGTGCGCTGTTTGTATGATTAAGGCGCGTCAGTTGTGTGAAACTTAAGGTGAGTCATTGTAAAATCTTAGGTGCGTGGTTTGTGTTCTTAAGGTGCTTTGTTGTGTGTTTAAGATGCGTGGTTTGTGTACTTAAAGGTGAGTGGTTCTTAAGGTGTTTTGTTTGTGTGCTTAAGGTATGTGGTTTGTGTACTTAAGATGCGCCATATTAATGCTTAAAGTGCGTCAACCGCACGAGAAGCCATTATCGCACCACTTCCATATATATATATATATATATATATATATATATATATATATATATATCAACAGACTACCAGAGTTGCTTGCTGATGTAGATTGATAGTGAAGAGATGAGAGGCAGAGCGGTCCAATCAGGCGTGTCAAAATCTGTAAACACAAAAAATATCAAAATTGTATATACTCACAAAATATGTTTACAATGTGTAGTTCAAGATGCGGTTACAAAATCTCTATGTAGTCTTACCTTCAAGCCAATCAACTCTGCAAAGCTTCAAAGTACCTACCATGGCTTCAAAATTTTCAAAGCTGCTTCAAATCTTTAAATGCCTTCAAGGAGCTCTCAATTTTTCAAGTCTTCAAGTTGTTTTCAATGTTTTTAAGGTGTGATTTAAAGATTGAAATTGAGACTCTATTTATAGTGAAGCTTGTAACTAAAATCCCTCAACAAACTCCACTAATATTTATTAAATTAAATTAATTAATTATCTACTAAAATGAACCTGGCGAAAATCAAGTATAGGTTCATTATTCTATCATCTAATTCAAATTCAAATTAAATTATAATTATCTAATTCAAATATAATAAAATCATATTATATTTAAATTATAATTACAATTATAATTATAATTCAATTATGAAACGGGATTGGACCAATTAATTAATTAATTCAATAGTCCAAATCAAATTTACTTGGACTAATTAAATTAATTTAATTATCATAGCCCAATTAATTAAATTGGACTAATAATCAACCCCAAAATTGAGTTCAATAATGATTTAATTGGTCCATTTGTCGGCTTCAAATTTTTCGTGTCTACACTAACAGAAACAATAAAATAGATAAGAGAGCTTTGAGAAAACATACTTGATTGAGGTTGACCTACTGATTGACGTTTTGTGTTGAGATAAAAGAAGAAGATGCGCTATGATCGAAATTGAGAAGTCAGACATCAATTTTTGGTTAAATAAAAAAAAAGGGTAATTTTGTCTCAATGTTTGTTTTTTCTTCCTAAAATTCATGGAATTGAAATAGGGAGAGGGGACATAGGATTCTACTTTCATGAAAACGAGGGAATTGCAATTCCGCGAAATTGTAATTTTCTCCAACCAAACAAAAGAATTTTGTTGCATTCAAAATTATATAAGAAATGCTTAAGTTGAGTGCACATTTACATATAATCAATACACTTTGTCCTATTGCTCATTATATGTTCCTAGTTCTCACATAAAGCATAATTCGCATAAGAATCACTCCATATATATGTACAGTAATTTTTACGGCGCCTAGGCTATATATTTGGTGCATTAATACTATGTTGAAAAACAAACATAAATTCCGGTGGCATTGTTTAATGAACAGTTCCTTGAACAATATAACAAAAGTACAAAATCCAGCAACCAACAATGTTGCATACACACTACCAAACCTAGACTTTTGAGAAGTACATACAGAGAAGGTAACCAACCAATCAACACCTGAAGTGAATGAAACTAACCAAGTTTCCAGACAAAAATCCTGTCGGAATTTCACCTTAAAAACTACCTTTCAGAAGCAGTTAATAGAATGCATGATCTTGATGCAACGAAACACGGGGTACCGATTTGCAGCCAATAGAAAGAACCCGGTTACTAGCTAGCTAGGGCATCGTTCCTCGCCATATCAACGCGTTCGGATTGGAGCATGAACTTGCATTCACGGGCTGCACGTTTACAGCATTTCTTGTGACCGCCTTACACAGCGGCTCACCTTTTTCTTGAATCCCTCCCTGTTCTCCCGCCATTCCTTCTGCAAATAGCGACCATCAAAACATAGGAGAAGCTAGGTATTATGTATGGCAAAGGTTAAATTATGCATCCTAGACAGATGCTAAACAACATGATAGATTACGAAGGATGTAAGCTTTCAAGAATACTTACAGCAGCTTCAACATTTGCCGGGGACTCATCATTAGGGCTTGAAAGCATTGATATGATGCTCAAAACTATACTTTCAACCTGCAAGTTAGAGTCGTAACATGAGATGAAAAACCAAACATAAAAGACAGATTTATTCTGAAATTAATGAATATGAGAAAAACCAAACATAAAAGACCACTTTTTATGTACAGCTAAACGGATGAGGTCATACCGTATGGACAGGTGACCAGCGCTCACTAGCAAGTTCATATCCATTTGGATCGTCACCGGGAGGATGAAGAATTGAGATGCAAACCTTGCCATCGGTGTATACTGAACACAATACCAATATTTCAAACATTACCAAGAACATCGTGATTATAATGACAATAAAAAACGATAATCACATCTTCAAAACTAGCTTACAGACCATTAGGATGCCAGATCTCTGTGGTAAATCTCACCGAGGGGGGACTATTCGGGTAATTTTGAGGAAAACTCATAATCGCATTAAAAAAACCTCCTTCACTGCATTCACAATTCATATATGTTCAACCGTTAACATTCCCCATAACCAAGCAGAATTATATAGTAAACCGAAAGAGAATGATCACCAAAGCATTCATGTTGGTAACCAGCAAAAAGAACAATGATACACCTTGAACAAACATCATAGAATAGGATCTCAAAATCCTAAACAAGATGATCCTAGTCCTTGAGCATTGCAAAACCACAAAATTCCTAAAACAAGTGGTTTAGCCAATCTAAAAAACACAGATCAAAACCTACCACAAGCGAAATCATACACCACACATAAAGCTTACATAATAATAACTAAAATAAAGCCTAAATGCCCAATTCATTGAATAAGAAATATTTGAATCCAGCCTGCACGGGTAGCTCAGTTAGTTCCTGAATGGCACATTTCGGGCAAGAAATATCTGAATCCCACAAATCTTAAGAAATTAAAGCTAACCCAATCAGCAGGAAAGAAAGGATGCAACACCCAAAAGTTAGATAATTGAACTACAAACAGCCCATCAAGGGAAAATAAACTGATAATCTGGTAAAGGTTGAATCTTTGACTAAATTTGAAAAAGAAGAAGAAACTCACTATAATGTATCAGGAGGTCCAATAACTGTAACGCTCCATTCGAAAAGATTGCTCTCATCAACCAAACCAGCTGAAAATCCATCAACAGGCTTTTTGCAAAGATCTGGAAAGAGAAAGAGAGGGAGAAGAAGAAATTATCATCTTTTAAGGAATTTAAGGTATAAAGACAGTTCAAGAAAACTTCAAAAACCCATAAAAATCCCACCTTTGAGTTGTTTCTGGAGCAAAAGACTGGCCTGAGAAGCTGAAGCCATACCAAACTTCAGAGGGGGAAAGGAGGGAGTATATACTAAGCAGTTGTGGGTTGATTTGGGAGAGAGAAATCAGAGGATAGATGGAAGTAGTTTGTGCGTTGAGTCGCAATCTTCGGGTGTGATTCGAGTCTTATATAAACCAACCAAATTGGTGGGGGTGTAAATTGTAAAAGACAGGATTGAGAGCGTGATTGGATATGGAGATTATATGCTCCGCAGTAATGTCATATGAAGGAAATGGCATTAGCCCATTTTCTTTAGATTCTTCTGGGTACGGTTCTCCATCTTCTTCCCCATTCTTGAAAAAGATGACAGACACCTCCCAATCAGACCATATTCCCTTTCTTTAAGGATAATTATGGCGATGATCCCATGTTTTATTTGACGTTATTTGTTCTTTTCTTGAAAAAGATGGACCCCACGGAGTATGTAAATCACCGTGACGCACAATGAATCTGTTCACTTTGAACATAATGTTCACATTGCCACCGTTAAAGTTCGAACCTTGGTCTTTTCTCTTAAATACTCCCTACTAAATTATTGAGCTAAGCCCTTACAGGTTTATTTGTTCTTTTCAGTTTTTCTTTTTGAGTGAGTCATGAGAGAAATAAACAATTACTCCTTATTACTTTTTTCTCTCAGAAGGTTGAATCTCAATTTCAAAGGTCTCCCACAATACGGATAGAGTATTTGAAATGATGTAAATTACGGTGATTCAATAATTCAGCAGAAAGGGTTAAATGTCAGTATTCACAAGGGATCTGTCCACTTTAATCTTGGTCTAATAAACAGTTATTACTTGATTTTGTTTATGTGATAAATTTTACTCGATAAAATGCACATGGTAAATTTCAGGGCAAATTAATATAGATGATTGTTTTTGGGTAAATTTTACTTTGTGCTGCAATAAGATAAACTAGCATAGGTTGTTTCTAACTCAATGACTCGAATTAAGAAGGCTAAATATCGATTGAACTATAACTGTTTAATTATCAAATTAACTTGACAAACTTGATTAGAGTTATCCTAATTAATATTTTCTGAAAAAGTATGAGAATGTTGTTGATATTGACAAGAAAAGATTAGGGTAGGGAGTATAGGTGGGCAAATTGAATTATTGAGGTTAAGGATGTGTGGATATGTGGTTTTACCTGTTGATGGATTGAAGGAGAAAGACATAATCACAAGTGGCATTGATTAACCTTAGCTGTATCATATCACGTGGATTTGGCATTACAGCATTACTGTCACCACCTCCAACCAGACAATAATGGACATTTCTGTTCACAGATTGTTGTTCTCCTCTTCTTTTTCTTGTGCCATTAGATGCTGTTTTGATTGCAACACTAAACAAACAGTATCTGTATATTCCTAGATTTTGCTTGTTGGATCCATTTAAAAAGTTAATAACTTTACTTTGCTAACAATTGCAGAGGTATGTTTTGAGCAGAATATAAATTATAAATAACTTTACTTTGCTAACAACTGCAGAGGTATGTTTTGAGCAGAATATAAATTTTAACATTGCTTGACTAATAGATGCGAGATATAGAATTGACTTTGTGTGAGATGTTTAATTGAGCTTCTTGGTTTGAGTCATCAGGAGAATCTAGATTGATTTACTTCATTATATTGTGGTTGTTTATCGGTTATGGTCACATGATAGGTTAGCACACATTTAGATAGTGGTTGTGGCCTTTCTCGTAAATTTTAAAATATATATGAAATTGACGCTCTTATGGATAATTGGGTACAAATTTTGAGATACATTTTGTGATTTACCTCTTGTATCAGGCTAACACACATCCGGATAATGACCGCAAACTTTCTGGCAAATCAAATATATGAAATTAACCCACTTTATAGATAATGGCTACTAACTTTGAAATTAGATACATTCAAATAGGGGAGGTGTGATTTCTTGCAAATGAAATATATGAAATTGATGCCCTTTATGAATAAGTGGGTACTAACTTAGAGATTAATTTTGTGATTTTCCTTTTTCACCGTGACTATTGACTTCACAACAAGGCAAGAGATACTTGCAATTTGTATAGCTGTTTTTGCAAGGTCCCACCAACAAGGGCATTTGGTCTAGTGGTATGATTCTCGCTTAGGGTGTGAGAGGTCCTGAGTTCAATTCTCGGAATGCCCCAAACAGTCTATTTTTTTTCAAGAAGAAAAGCATAGAATGTTGAAGCTTCAAGCACCCACCTAGAATGTTGAAGTTTCAAGGTCTCACCAACAAGGGCATTTGGTCTAGTGGTATGATTCTCGCTTAGGGTGCGAGAGGTCCCGAGTTCAATTTCGGAATGCCCCAAAACTGTCTGTTTTTTTTTTTTTCAAGAAGAAAAGCATAGAATGTTGAAGCTTCAAGCACCCAGACTAGAATGTTGAAGTTTCAAGGTCCCACCAACAAGGGCATTTGGTCTAGTGGTATGATTCTCGCTTAGGGTGCGAGAGGTCCCGAGTTCAATTCTCGGAATGCCCCAAAATTGTCTTTTTTTTCCAAGAAGAAAAGCATAGAATGTTGAAGCTTCAAGCACACAGACTAGAAAGGGCTAAAGGGTATAAACTCTGTTATGTTTTGGGATAATGGTATGAATTTGGATATACTTTGGGTTGCAGTAAAAAGTTCATGTTTATTAATAGTTCATACATTTTCAATCTGTTTGGTAATACAAGTACTGATATTCATGTGAACTGATGAATATTACCACAGTAACTCTGTAAGAAATCATGCATTAGATGGAAAGACAGGTGGAGAAAGAGTGAAAAAGCAATATAGTTTACTGCAGAACAAAATATTTATAGATATAATCTTAATTGAGATCCTAATAAACCAATATAATCATTTTTCAAATCAGTTAGAAACAATGTTATCGCCTACTAAACCAGCTTCTTATCCATGTCTCAGACTATCGCTTCTGCCAGGCCAACGCATTGTTCCCTCCAAGGGGAGGGGCGAAGGCACACACGAACTTCGTGCTCCTCTGGTCCCACGCGATGTTTAGGCACGAGAATCTCGAGCATTGTACCAGTCTCGTCTCCGAAAGCCTCTAGCTTAGCGTCCTCTGGGATGCGAGTGCGTAGGGGAATTTCCCGGACAAATTCTCCCGGAGGGCAGTGCTCGGGAGATGGATCTGCTAGCTGGAATGTCCGGTTTTGTCTCTTGATCGTTGGAGCACACCCGGTGCTTGTGCAAGATATCTTCACGGTCCCGTGTGAGACGGTGTTTCTCCAAGTGACTTTCACCCTCTTCAGATCGACGAAAGGCATGCTGACGATAATCAAGAATCCCTCGTCGTCTTCGTATATAGTTTTTGCAGCTGTGACCGGACCATATGCGTGCCTCATAACCCCCGAACTCTTGGTTAACCAGGGTGGCTCGATTCTCTCGGAATGTGAAGTGTCAGATAAAAAGCAATCATCATCAACAGGTTGAGGAAAGAAACACATTTTCTTTCGCTTGTTGGCATCTATCCCTGCTCCATTTACATTGTTTGGTTGTGGAGTCGATAAATTCAGACTAGAACCATTGAGCGATCTTTTTGGATACTTTAGAGGAGGTAGCCTCTCGAGCACAAATTCTGTGGTCGGGACACTCCTCCAAGAACAAAAATCGCTGGCTTCGGGAGGGATGGAGAAGTTCAAATCTCGCCCCGTGAGTTCCATCCATTTCTTCCGTTCCTCCTCGTTGATACCTGCAAGATTCGGAGACCTAACAATTTCAATGCCATGAACACACTGTGGGTTAGACAACCCCCGGTAATGTTTCCTCTGCATCCTGTGCGAGCGCACAAAGCCTTTCTCCACGCTAAACGGGAACGGGCACTCCCCTTGGCGTGAATGCCCGTTCATGTAACTCCTCAGCTGCATCTTCCCGAGAGCATTCTCGGGCCTCTCCTTGAAAACCCACATGTAAATGTTTTCCATATCGTGCTGAACAAGGAAAACATCCAACTTATCATCGCACTCACTCCCACGACCAACGACCTTCCCCTTCGACCTCCCATTCATCGCGGGCTTAAAATAGAAATTGAAGAAAAACCAAGCGCCCCACACGCTATCAAGCCGCTTAGCACACTTCTTCCCAACCTTTGTGCCACCACAACTCATCTCGACAACACCATGATGATGCTGGGCAGCAAGACCAACATCTAGCACAAATTCATCTGAACAAGGCAGGAGGGGGCTAGGGGAAACTATGAGTGGAAGATTAATATCAGGTGGAGCAAAACCCAGTTTTCGATTAAACTCCCTCCCCGATTTGTCATGAGACAAAGAACTTGAATCCATGGACAAAAGGGTGGAAAAATGATTGCTTTCCATAGATAAGGCTGTAACCACTCTTTCTTTTGCAGGCATTTTCCCCAGTAATCCTTAAATTGGAACCCAAAATGGGCAAAATCCCACCACAACAACCACTTAAAAACATGACCTCTTCATGTGCATAGAGCCAACAACAGGGACTGATTGAACAACTCGCGATTTACCTAGGGTTTTCAAGACTTAAAAGATTAGTCTAGCGTAAGCAAGCAGAAAGAAAAAAGACATCTTCATAAACAACATCACTCCAATCAACCCTTACCCACCACAAACAAAGCTTCATATATCAGTCAATTAATCGTGATTCTTGAAACATACCATCCACACAAGTACACAACCATATAGAACTGTGTTTGTGTTATGCTTTTTCCCAATCCCAAAATCAGAAAGACCACAACTTTAGCAAAAGATTCAGTAATATCATTAGTAATTTGACATTTCCTAGATATAAAAGCAGCAAGAAATAAATAACTTCTAACATTCCATTGAATCTAGTAAAGCTGTAAAACTGAACTCTCTCAACCCAGGAAAGTATACACACATATAAAAGTTTAGAGCGATTAAAAATGAGAGGAAGAAAGATGAATCGAAGGGTACCTGAGGAGAACCAAAAGAGGTCTCTGAATCTGCATGTGCGTTGGGAATGGAGGTGGGGCGGTGACGTAACCGGAGAATGTATAAATCTACCAAATTTGGGGTTGAAACGTGATAGTGCCTGTCATGTGGAGAACAAACGCCGTTAAGAAACGGTGACGGAGTATCAGTCATACTCCGTCAATAGTCAAAACAGGCGTCTATGCCTCTATGGTGGCTAGATGACCTACCCCAATACCTTTAAAAAGTTATTTAAAAAAAAAAAAAAAAAAAAAAAAAAACTTCACACCTCAACCTAAGTTACCCAATAGAACATTTTGGAGGATATAAATCCCTGTAGCCATACCCACACGATATGATTCAGCAGACAGGACCACCCACCATACCCCACACTATCGCCATCGAAGATCAAATCTTTGTCTCTTCTCCAAACACTACCTACTGAATCGTTGAACTAAACTCATGCGGACATGATTTAATTTTTTTATAACAAGTCAGTGATTGAATTCATGCCCTATACAATTTCACTGTCCTAGTATAATATCTACGTGAAATAATCATGTTTGTATTGTGTAAGAACTCAACATTAATGTGACAAAACATTTTCTCTTCTATTTTAAAATGATTGCATTTATTGAGTTGGAATTTGAGATATCTGAGCTTCTACTCATCTTCATATAATAGGTACATATATAGTACAATTATTTTTAGGGATAATGCAATGCACCTTTCATGGTTTTTAGTTTTAATTATTTTTATTTAATACCAACTTGGATTTAAGCTAGAGACTTTTCTTCCCAAGGTCATCATCTACTCAATAACTATTTATAATTGAAAGATGATTGGATTTTTGAACAGCTCAGCTCCTTCACATGGGATAAGTTCTTATCATGTTGAAGGATAAGTTATCCCCATTTTACCTCCACAACATAAGTCTGCGTATATATTAAAATATTACAATAATATTTTAAAATTGTTGCATCCGCTTATCTTTTTGGTCCGGGATAGGGCCTGCCCCATAACAGTACAAAACAAGTAGATTATTAGTTCAGAATAACCAAGTCAAGTTTATAATTGACTTAGTTTAGACACATTGAATTAGGTTAAACAAATTGTGAATCCCTATGTGTTAGTTTGAGAATTGATTTCAATATTTGTTCGATTGAAATGGATGTCCTTTCCCTTTTAATTGTAATGTTTTATACTATTGTATTCATAAAATGATATCTCATTTTACTCTTTTTTTTTTATTTTTTTTTATTAGATGCATTGCAAAAGTAGATACTCGTGTCATGAAGAATTTGTAAATTAGTGTTTAATATGTTTTTTTTTTTTCAATGAAGAAAGCAAAAACAAACTCACAATATAAAAAAAATGTGTGAGATTGTTTCAAATGATATGTATAATACTTTTTAATAAAAATATATTTTTACTGAAAGTATTATGAATTTCTTGGAGCCTCACAGGAATTAAACATAGTTAACTATCTTACAAGCTAAACAAACAAGCTCAGTGACTACCCATTTGAAATGATAACAGAAGTGTTATCACATTACATAGTACTCGTTGGCATTTGAAGTTATTTAAGGGCAATGCCATCAATAGTTCTTTTAGGGCCTAAGTGAGGTGAAAGAGAGAGAAAGGAGAAAGAGAAGAAGAAGTTATTAGAGCATCCACATTAGTTGGGAAGAATGTGGGGATAATGTAAGAGTGATTAGGAAAGAGAATAGGGGAGGGGGGAGAGGGAAAAAAAAAACAAAGAGAAAATTGATTTTTTAAAAAAAATAAAAATAAAAAAATTTAATGCTGTCGGCGCGCCTGACGCACCACAGTGCACGCGCCCGGCTGTGCGCGAAACACGCACAGCCTTACTTCTTCTTTTATTTATTTATTATTATTATTTTTTAATATTTTTGACATTATGCCTTCATTTGCAGGATAATTATTTTTGAATTATCCCCACTCCACATTAGTTATTAACTCTAGTTGGAAAGAATTCAAACTGAAATAACTCCATATTATCCACTAGTGTGGATGCTCTTAAGGGCAATGCCATCAATAATTTTTTAGGGCCAAAGATGGTTTTTTTTTTTTTTTTTTTTTTTTTTTTTTTTTTTTTTCTATGCAAAATGGGTCATACAAAAAAAAACAAAAACAAACAATAAATGTATATTGCATTCATGATCCACACAGCTAGGTAACAATAGTTATGCTGTGGAAACATATTCACCATGCGCATGGTAAACACAGGGATAGATCCATAATTTCTATAATGTAGATTCATAATTTATTTTTTTTTTTGAAAACGTAGATTCATAATTTTGTTTTTCATTTGTTGTTAACGGGATAAATATATAATTTGTAGATTCATAATTTCTATATTGTAGATTCATAATTTATATACTGTAGATTCATAATTTATATACTGTAGATTCATAATTTCTATACTGTAGATTCATAATATCTGTAACAACAAATGAAAAACAAAATTATGAATTTACGTTTTCAAAAAATAAAAATAAAAAATTATGAATCTACTGGATGGAAATTATGGATCTACCCCTATGTCTACCATGCGCATGGTGAACACGTTTTCACAGCATAATTTACGACAATTTATATCGTGTACCAGGGTGCGCATTGCATTGTGCGCCCTGATGCAAAACGACGTCGTTTCAGTTTTTTTTTTTTTTTTTTTTTTTTTTTTTTTTTTTTTTTTTAAATTTTGCTACCTTGTGTTGCCGGTTAATTTTCTTTAAAAAAATCTCATGTTCAAAAATGCACATAATTTTATACTAAAATACACATAATTGTATACATGAATGTACATAATCGTATAACAAAATATAGATACTTTTTTTAAAAAAGATAATATACATAATCTAACATAATACATAATAAACATAAACTTTTAACATAATACACATAAACTCTTAACATAATATACAAAAATTTCTTGTTTCGAATGTACATAATTGTATAAAAAATGTACATAATTATATAAACAAATACACATAATCACGTCAACTCTCTACATAACTTACCTAAATGACGTCGTTTTGGGAGACGCGGAACACACAGTGCTATGTGTGCCGTGGTGCAGGGTATAACGATTGATAATTTTTTTGAAATGCCACTGACTCTATTACATTGTAGTATCTGTTCATATACTTTCTCAACCTACTAAAACACAAAGAACCAGTCCAACCCGGATACCATTAGACCACATAGTCCTGGTTAACAATTGATAATTTACAACTATGTAAACTATAATCCACACAATACTTTGCCTTAGGCGGCAAAGCGGGCGAATTGACGGGCTAAACCCATTTTACAGTTCCACTTGTTTGTTTATTTATAGCAAGAAAGGCCGCAGTACTTAATAGCCCATTTATACAAAACAAATGTATTGGGCCAAAACTGAAAGGGACACAAATGTTATTTAAAGGCCCAACAAGAAGTGATTCACATCGTACGGCATTCTCGATTCTCCTTGGCATTGTCCGCCCTGTCTCAGTGTCTCCGCTATTTTTATAATTCCCAATTTCGAATCCAAAAATGGCTTTTAGATACTCCCACAAATTATCCCATCATGTCCGCCGAATCCGACGACAACTCCGACATCCTTCCGAAGCTCATGATCTGCTTCATCGGCGCCGCGTCCGCCGCCGTGGTCATCACAGTCTACCACTGCATAGCCACGCGCAACGTGCGTGGCCTCCTACGCCGCGGCATTACTAGGCGGCAAGCGCCGCCGCCGTCTTCGGCGGCGGCGCAGCCGCAGCAGGATTACCAGAGCAGCGTGGAGAACTCGGTGGCGGAGCTAATCCCGGCCCACAAGTACCAGAAGGGGGTCGGGATGACCCGGGAGGGCGACGGCGTCTGCGCCGTTTGCCTGTCGGAATTCGAGGACGGCGAAGAGCTGCGCACTTTGCCGGAATGCATGCACTCGTTCCACGTGGCGTGCATTGATATGTGGTTCTACTCGCACTCCAACTGCCCGGTTTGCCGGACGGAAGCGACGCCGTCGCCCCACGTGCTTATACGCTTGCTGGATTCCAGTGTTCGAAGGTCGCCGCCGGCGCCGGCCCGGCCGCAGTCGCAGACAAATTCAATGATGTTGATAAGTTCTGTAATACAATAATAACAGGATGCTAGAATCTATGAATTTTGTTTAAATTTATTTTTATTATTATATTTTCAATGATGAGGAATATAAAAACCACAGATATTACTTGATTATGTGCAGTGGATAAATCTCACATTATAAATCTAGCGGACAATTGATCACAAGAAGGTAAATCAATTTAGTTGTTCATAATTGACTAGCTCAAATTATCCCTTCTACAGTTTTACTTAAGTTGAACTTAAAATCTTGAGATTATTAAGTCAGGTTGCACCCATTTTTTTATTTAATATTTTGAATTCTATATATGGTAGTTAGAATATTAGTTTGTAAGATATCATAAAAACATATTTAAAATATTAATATATGATTAACATTAAACATATCATTGTTGGCGAATATATATTAATAATTAATTTTGTTAATACTTATTTGGATCATAGTGGGAAATTAAATAATTCAAAATACTGTTAGTCTTTCTTTACAAGGTTCTTATCACCAACACATTTGTCGTGTTACATTTGTTGGACTAGCTAGATTATTTCATGATTGATTAAGACTTATCATATAATTAGTCAGACAGCCATAATTATTAGCCAAATTGTGGTTATATATCATTAAATTACATCATATCCATGCATATTTTTATTATCTTTAAAAATCCAAATATGTAAAGGTTGTTTTGGTAAATCTAATGGAGAATAGGGATTATGGGAGTTTAATTGTTGTTAAAAAAAATAAATTGGTAGGAGTAATGAAACAAGGACTAAGGAACAATGAAACAAACAATATGAAGTCGTTGTAGTTGTTTTATTTTGGTGATGAAAATGTCTGAAGAATACATATAATACGGAATATTCATTTATACATTGAGGGAAAACCTTATCTTGTTTTCTTTGCCAATTAGATACTAGGAAAGGTTAGGTGTTGGGTTTCGGCCGGGTTGGCCAAGTTTAGTCCTTACTCGATTCGTGACGTGGTGATGTGGTTTATCGTGAAAAGATTTGGTTAAATGATTAATGTCCACTTACTTATCACCAATTAATTTTAAGTAAGATATGACAACCAAATAACTAACGAACTCTATAGTTAAGCATGCTTAACTTACAATGGTGGATGACACAATGAAAAGTAAGCATAGTGCATTGCTGCCACTACCTCTGTCCATCCTTCGAGACATGTGCCCCTGCTTGGGCCGGGGCACACATATTGACATATACAAGAGTTGTGGGAAGGGAATTGCCTATTACTTAGAAATTATTATTGTTGAATTGATAGATTAATTATATATAGTAATCTACCTATTGTACGAAATACCCATTTTAATTCAAAAAATGTTATTTTCCTTCCTAAATTTATCTTATTTCATTACTCGTGGCAACAAATTTTTTATATTTATTCCCTACTCATGAATTGTAAATCCACCACTAAGTAGTTAAAATATGAATCTCAAATTAATACTCCCTTTGTCTTATTTTGTGTCTACTTTGGTTAATAGAACTATATTCAATATATTTACAATTCAAACTTTTATAATATTGAATTTAGTATTAATATATATATATATATATATATATATATATATATATAAATATATATATATATTAAAGCTATATTAAAAAATACTATTAAATAAAAAACTAAATACAATATTGCAGTGTGTACTCCAGAAGAAGTTGAGGCTTGAGCATGCTTTAGAGTTCGTTTGGAAAGCAGGAAAATTATTTTTGAAAAATATTTTCTTGAAAATGAGTCATTTTTTAAAAAAAACATTCTCATTTCCGGTGTTTGGTTGTATTCTGGAAAACTATCTTGATGTATTTGGTTCATTTTCTGGAAAATCAGTATAATTGTATAATTAAATATTTTAATTATTTTATTTAGAACATAACATGTATAATAATATAATAACAATTTTAAATATAATATAAAATAACTAATAAGATATATCAAAATAACTAACCAAAGTCTTGTAATTCAAAACAACAACAACAACAATAATAATAAGTGGTATACTAGTGGTGGTGGTGGTAGTAGTGTCGCGGTGGTGGTGGTAGTGGTGTTATTTGTTATATAATAATAATAATAATAATAATAATAATAATAATAATAATAATAATAATTGGTGGTGGAATGGCGATGGTGGTGCGGTGTGGTGGCAGTGGTGGTGGTTGCGGTAGTAGTTAGGTGTTGCTGGTAGGATGGTGATGGTGTTGTGGTGGTGTGGTGTTAGTGTAAAAGTTGAAAAATGACTTCCCTATAAAAAAAAAGTGAGAAAGTCATTTTCCTCTAAAACAAGCATGTTTTCCAAAGTCAACGGAAATGATTTATGTTGACTTAATTTTCCAGACATAGAAAACCAGAAAAATGATTTCCAAACACACCCTCAATTAAGGTTTCTCTAATTGATGTGAAAAAAAAAAAAGGATATATTATATTTGTGTAGAATTTGAAGGTGATTAGAGCGATTAAAATCTGATTATCCTTGGCATTGTCCGCCCTGTCTCAGTGTCTCCGCTATTTTTATAATTCCCAATTTCAAATCCAACAATGGCTTTTAGACACTCCCAGAAATTATCCAATCATGTCCGCCGAATCCGACTACGACATCCTTCCGAAGTTCATGATCTGCTGCATCGGCGCCGCCGGCGCCTCTGTGGTCATCATACTCTACCACTGCATAGCCACGAGCGACGTGTGTGGCCTCCTACGCCGCGGCATTTCAAGGCGGCAAGCGCCGCCGTCGTCTTCGGCGGCGCCGCCGCAGCACGAGTACCAAAGATGCGTCGAGATCTCGGTGTCGGAGCTAATCCCAGCCCACAAGTACCAGAAGGGGGTCGGGGTGACCCGGGAGGGCGACGGCGTCTGCGCCGTTTGCCTGTCGGAATTCGAGGACGGCGAAGAGCTGCGCACTTTGCCGGAATGCATGCACTCGTTCCACGTGGCGTGCATTGATATGTGGTTCTACTCGCACACCAACTGCCCGGTTTGCCGGACGGAAGCGACGCCGTCGCTCCACGTGCTTATACACTCGCTGGATTCGAGTGTTCGAAGGTCGCCGCCGGCGCCGGGCCGGCCGCAGTCGCAGACAAATGCAATGATGCCGATGTTGATAAGTGCTGTAATACATTAATAACAGGATAATGCTAGAATCTATGAATTTTATTTTACTTTATTATTATTATATTTTGAATGACAGGAAAATAGAAAACTACAGTTTTAACCTGATCGTGTGCATAGGGTAAATCCAGCAACAAAGGTTTCTAAAAAGATAAACCAATTTAGTTTTTTATAATTGACCAGTTTAAATTAAGAACGTCAGGTGATTTTTATTTGTGTTAAATTTGAAATCTTAGGATTACTAAGGGTGTGTTTGGTTCATGCGTTTACACAATAGGAATAGAATCAAAATCATAGTTAGTGTTTGGGTGACAACTTTTTAAAACACAACTATGTGATTTGATGAATACTCTGCATGATTTTTAAGTTTGGATTAGTGATTTTAGATTTTTATTATGATTTTTTATTCATATTGGGGCTATGGATTTCATTATATTAGGATTAAGTGTCTTGATTTTTTGCTTTTGTATTTTTAAAACATTTATTCTATTATAGGGTCATACAACATCAATATTGTGGTAATCATTCCAATTCCACCATACTATCAAATATGAAAAATATTTTCACAAAAAAATCATACCATTACCAAGTATTTGATTTCCATTTTCCGATTTCCATGTGCGAACCAAACACACCCTAGGTTAGGTTGCACCCATTTTTTATTTAATATTTTGGATTATATTGTAGCTAGAATATTATTTTGCAACGTTGATATCATAAAAACATATTTATAATATGATCAACATTTAACATATCATTGTTGGCGATCAAATTAATTGTTACGGAGTATTTTACAAAAAGTTTAGCAAATATATATTATTAATTAATTTTGTTAATACTTATTTGAATCATAGTGGGAAATTAAATACTTCAAAATACGCTTTCAAAAAAAAATACTTCAAAATACTATTAGTCTTTCTTTACAAGGTTTTTATCACCAACATATTTGTCGCATTACATTTGTTGGATTAGATTATTTCATGATTGATTAAGACTTATATCATATAATAATAATAAGTAAGACAGCCATAATTTTCAAAAAAAAAAAAAAAGTAAGACAGCCATAATTATTAGCCAAATTGTGTTTATATATCATTAAATTACATCATATCCACGCATATTTTTATTATTTTTTAAAAATCCAAATATGTAAATTAAAGGTTGTTTTGGTAAATTAAATCTAATGGAGAATAGGGATTATGGGAGTTTATTGTTGTTATTAAAAAATTGGTAGGAGTAATGAAACGACTAAGGAACAATGAAACAAACAATATTGAAGTCCTTGTAGACTTGTAGTTGTTTTATTTTGGTGATGAAAATGTCTGAAAAATACATATAATACGGAATATTTATTTATACATTGAGGGAGAACCTACCTTATCTTGTTTTCTTGTTCTCAAAATATTGAATTCCCAATTCCAAGAGCCCCTCACTTCTCGGCCCGACATAGTATCTGGGAATATGTAAATTATGATAATTCAGATGAACACAAAGGCTAAATAGTTGCTTACTGTGCACAAAGAGTCCCCCTCACTTTGAGAGATTAGTTGCTCACGTACTACCGATGGTGAGACTTAATCTCGAGTCATTGTTCCCAAATTTCATCTCTGTGACCAAGTGCTATCCATGCGGGCTTATCTTGTTTTCTTTGCCAATTAGGGTGTAGCAATTCAACAAAACTTAATTTTATATTTATTCGCTACTCATGAATTGTAAATTCACCACAAGTAGATAAAATATGAATCTCAAATTAATACTTCCTTTGTCTTATTTTGTGTCTACTTTGGTTAATAGAACTATACTCAATATATTTACAATTCAAACTTTTATAATATTGAATTTAGTATTACTATATATAATTTATATATTTTAAAGCTGTATTAAAAAAATACTATTAAATAAGAGACTAAATACAATATTGCAATGTGTAGTCCGGAAGAAGTTGAGGCTTGAGCCTGGTTTAATTAAGGTTCTTTAATTGATGTGGAAAAAAGGGATATACTCCGTATTTGTGTAGAGTTTGACAGTGATTCTAGCTTCTAAAGGTATGGCTCTGATACCAAATTGAAGCATGTGCTCCATCTCAACTAAAAGCCTAAGCTGATAGTTTGATTACACATTAATGATTATATGCTCAACAGTTACAAGTAATTTATCCAAGGGACTAATGATGAACTTACTAGAGATATGTAGAAAAATGGCGCAACTATATATAAGAGACAAAACTTATCTAAATTGTTGTTAATTGTGAGCAAAATAGAGTCGTTGATAAGCTAGTCAAATTATCAATTATATGTTATCGGGGTTTTTGGGTGTTTGCACACACCCTAGTTCACTTGTGCAAATACTTTTTTGATGATACATACACTTGGTGTCATGAGAGTAGCCCTGTGCAACGGACGGATCGGATCGGATCGGATGGTTTTTCCGTTCATCCGATCGGATTGCGGATTGAAATTTTGAAGTCCTATCCGACTTTTTTGAAACTAAAACCCTATCGGATATGCTATGTCGGATTTCGGATTATTCGGATCGGATGTCGGACCACATTCGGATTTGGAAAAGTTCATTGATAATTGAAAATTAAAAACTGAAAAAACATAATATGATTAATTTAATATGATAATATCTAATTACCAAGTTTCTATTAACAAAATAAGTAATTACTAATAAGTTAACAAACTAAAACATGCAACAACTTTTTAATGGACAGTTTGCAGAGCTAAATAATTTAAGTTTACAAACAAAATTGCAAAAAGTAAACCAATACAAAATGAATATAAGTTTAAGTGTTTAACTTCCAAAACATCAAAAATTTGAAGTTAATCACTTAAACAGTTAAACTTCAGCAAGACAGCAATCATTCCAGTAATTCAGTCTAGGCCTTTTCATCAAATCATCAATCACCATTTTTACACTTCTTCCTGTTAATATGAAAACTTAACACAATATTAGATTATTAGACAACCTATGTACTAAACAGCTAACTAAGTAACAATATTATGCTGTAGGGGCATTAGGCTAATAGCCTTATAGGCTCAGATTGCAATTTTCCATTTCAAGCAAGGATAGTGGCAAATTGCTCAAATGTGTTATTATAGCACATGAGCAACATAGCAACACTATACCATTTGTTTAGACAGTGGTGGAAGCATCATCATTGCCAAAAAAAGAAGTAAGAATAAATAATAATGCATTAAAACTGAACAGAGATCAATTAAGAGGATGAGAGTAATACCAGAGATCCAGAATGGATGTAATGGGAGTATGGGACATCAGTACTGAATAGTGAATACTGTTCAACTCTAAGTGGGGCAACATTTCTATAATATAATTATAGAAAGTTGCCAAACCACTTAGACTGTTAAGACTCTTAGAGTTTCATCTTGTGAAGGCCATCAGCAAACAACAGTACAACACCATAACATATAAAGATAAATAATTAGTTAAACAAATAATAATTACTGAAAACATTACAGGAATGGATGGCAGCATTGATGGTAGAGTAGTTCCAGCTCCAGTGGGTAACTCTGCAAAACAGTTAAGTATAAGTAGTTAGTTCTAGACTTACAAGTTACAAAAGTAAAAAAGAAATGATTTAAGAATTATATATTTACCTTTCTCCAATCTTTCAACCTCATCTAAATTTTCCTCAAGTGTGATTGGCTGATTATGTAACCTCAACCAATCTTGGGTACACAGTAAAGCTTCCACAATTTTAGGAGTCAAGGAACTCCTAAATGCATCAAGCACCCTCCCACTTGTACTAAATGCACTCTCAGATGCAACTGTGGAAATAGGAACTGCAAGTACATCCCTAGCCATTTTGGAGAGAATTGGAAATCTCTCACTATGATTCTTCCACCACTTTAGAACATCAAAACTCACAGATTCATCATCCTCAACCAGATTTTCACTCAAGTATATTTGTAGCTCTGTCTGCTTACTGCTTCCACCACCACTCTCCAATCTCTTTTTTTTTTTAAGTTCACTATTCATCCTTGAGACAGGCCTACCAACTGTACAAGTAGTAAGCTGAGACTGGACATGTTGGTTAGAGGATGAACTGTCAGAGTATGTAGCTGCATAGTCATTGTACAATGCAACCATTGAATTTTGGACCTTGGCAAAACATTCTTTGTCTTTGGCCTCTCCATACAACTGGATAAACTGGTGAGGCATGTACTCCTCTTTATCTCTAGGGTCCAGAATATTGGCAAAGAAAATGATATGGTTCATTTTTTCTGGATCTCCCCAGTACTTATCAAACTTCTCTTTCATTTTTGTCCCCATTGCCTAATAAATGCAGAAACTCAGAAAGCATAAGCATTTAAAAACACAAACAAGTAAACAACTTACAAGATATACATAATTACACAAATAAATTGCACAAGTTTTTTACCTTTTCAGTTCTCTCAGCTTTAGTCATCTCTTCCAGCATGCAACTGAGATCAGAGATCTCAGAGAAGAATGTGTTAGAAGTGACATAAAGAGAACCAGATATTCTCACAGTCATTTCATAAAAAGTTTTCAAAAGCTTCATTAAGCTTTCAACAGTCCCCCAATCAAGGAAAGAAGGTGTAGAACCCAAGTCAACAGAAAAAGAAGGATCATTTTGATGATATGAGTCAAAGACACTTTGATATTGAATTGCAGTGTTGAGCATAAGGTAGGTGCTGTTCCACCTTGTAGGGACATCAAGCTGCAAAGCTGATTTGGCTTCCTCCCCAATGAGTTCAGCAAGTTCTCTGAACTTATTCAACCTAGCAGGTGAGTTCCTAACCCATCTCACTGCATCCCTCACCCTTTTAACTGACTCATCTGCAAACCTCAAGCCATCTTGAACAACTAAGTTTAAAATATGGGCTATAAACCTCATGTGCATATACTGCACCCTAACAGAAGAACCCCCCCCCCCCCCCAAGACAACAACTTGCTTTTAAAAAATTCCATAGATGTATCATTAGAAGAAGCATTGTCCACTGTCACAGTGAACACATTTTTAATCCCCCACTCCAACAGACAACTCTCTAAGGCTTTGGCAATATACTCCCCCCTAGGAGAAGAAACAGGGACAAAGGAAATGATTTTTTTCTGAAGCCTCCACTGGTCATCAATAAAATGTGCAGTAATGCACATATAATATCCTTTGGACAGAAGTCCAAGTATCAGTGGTTAAACTGACCCTTTGGGTGCCCACCCTAAACAACTTCTTAAGACTCAACCTCTCATCTAGGAAGATTTGGTAGATATCCCTAGAAATAGTCCACCTAGAAGGAATCTGAAACCTAGGACAAGCTACAAGAATAAACTTCTTGAACCCCTGACCCTCAACAAACCTAAAAGGGAGTTCATCTATTATGATCATCTCACATAATGCCCTTCTAATGGCTTCTTGATTAAAGACCCAAGTCCCCAAAACCCCCACAGGAGCCTCTGTTGCAGAAGTTGAAACAGTATTGAATGTGAGAAGGGACTGCCTCATATCCTTTGAGACAGGATTTTTAAGGCATGCCATCATATGATTTTTCAAAGATGATGTGCCATGTTTCTTAGACTCACAGAAAAACACTTTCAGGCAGTAAATGCACTTTCCTTGAACCACTATATTTTCAGAGTTTTTGATCTTTTCAAAGTGATGCCAGACTAGAGATCTAGACTCAACCACCATCCTCTTTTTTGCAGGAACAGCAGAAGCAACCTGAGGCTGCTGAGCAGGATTCTCAGTGCCTTGGGCTTGTCCTCCATGTCCCTCTTGAGTTGAGGGTTGAGGTCCAGAGTCAGGAACATTGATGCTTTCCATCTAAAATGATGGGCATCAATTACTCAGCAAAGGCAACAAGCCAACAATCACATATTCACATTCACATAAACATACAAATAAATCTGGATTCAGACACTTTTTGTGTCATCATGTATCAAGATTTCACATTTTCATATTTACATATTTACATATTTACATTCAAATATTCAATTAAGGGTAATACATCCATAAACATACTCAAATAATGAAAGAAATCCAGATTCAGGAATTGTATCCAATTCATCATTATCTGGATTTCAGTTAATGGCTTCCACCAATAAATGGAAATTTCAAGTTTGAAACTTGATAATTTCACATTCAAGCCTTTAACTTTTATTTTAACATTTAATGGCTTCCACCAATAAATGCAATCTGTAACTTCTCAAGTATCAACAGATTACAATATCACAGTCCACACAAATCACAAGTACAAAATTAGAAACAAGTGAGATGCAATCTGGAACTTCTCAACAGATTACAATATCACAGTCCACACAAATCACAAGTACAAAATTAGAGACAAGTGAGATGCAATCTGGAACTTCTCAACAGATTATAATATCACAGTCCACACAAATCACAAGTACAAAATTAGAGACAAGTGAGATGCAATCTGGAACTTCTCAACAGATTACAATATCACAGTCCACACAAATCACAGGTACAAAACTAGGGTTTCTGCTTCCACCTTTATAGATCAGAGAATACAACACAACATAGCATAATCTAACAATAATATACGAGCATATGAACATACAGAGAGAAACGAATCAACAGATCACATTATCACAAAAACAAAAACTAGGGTTTCTGCTTCCACCATAATAGATCAGAGAATAGAACACAACATAGCATAATCTAACAATAATATACGAGCATATATGAACATACAGAGAGAAAAGAATCAACATATCACAAAAACAAAAACTAGGGTTTCTGCTTCCACCATAATAGATAAGAGAATAGAACACAACATAGCATAATATAACACAAATATACGAGCATATGAACATACAGTGAGGAAAGAATCAATAGATCACAAAAACAAAAACTAGGGTTTCTGATTTACTTGGTTTCCCCTTAATATTCCCCGGAGAACAAGGGCCTCTAATCACCAGTCCACGTTCCACCACCAACTCGAGAAGGGCTTCTACCAGTCGACCACCGCCCACCGGACAATCGGACAATCGGACAATCGGACAGTCGAAGACTCCACAGTCCACAGAGACTCAGAGTCTCATACAGTCACACTCTTAGTCTCAGAGAGTACAGACTAGAGAGAGGTGAGACTGTGAGAGACTCAAAGGAATGAGAGGGTGAGATTGAGAGGAGTAGAGAGCAGAGAACGAGAGAAGAGATCTGAGAGTGAGAGAGTCTCAGAGAAGAATCAGAAGAGTAGGGCTGCGCATCTGGCTTCACAAGGGCTTCAACATGCATATATACTCACCTCATACGACGTCGTTTAGCATACACATAAAACCTAACCCTAGGTTAGATCGGATTGTCGGACGGGTCGGATGGGAAAAAACCAAACCCTATCCGACCTCCTTTATCCGACGTCGTTTATGCCTTCGGTTCGGATATGGCTAGTCGGACCACAGGCAGGTCGGATGAGGTGGTTTCGGATTCGGATCGGACGGGTTGGTCGGGTTGGATCGGGTTTGCACAGCCCTACATGAGAGCCACCAGAACTATTGCTACTTAGTTTGCTTTGTTAGGTTCCCCTCCTACTCATAAAAATTTTTTATTAAAAATTTATAATAAAACATTAAAAATAAGTAAATTAAAGAAGAGAACGTTGGTTTAACTAATTAATAAGAAATAGGACAAGTAAAATAGAATAAAAATCAATAAAAAAAATTATCAAATAATGCCTAAGTAAATTTTTTTTGGGCAACGTGGGAAACCTACTATTATTATTTAAGACTATTACTAAATAAATCTCACACTTCTGTGTAATGGGCGGCCCATAAGAGAAAATGTTGTAGCATATATTACTCAATAATCAATAATAAAGTACTATGTATTTCTTTCACCATTTTCCACTTTCTCTCTCTCTCTCTCTCTGTCTTTCTCTCACAATCAGTTGGAATTTTTTGACAATTTTTTAGATGCCAATTAATGCAACCAGAATAGAGGTGATGGGAAAAAGGAGGGGGAAAATGCAAAAAAAAAAAAAAAAAAAAAAAAAAAAAAACAAAGAAAATAATAAAAGTAAAAAATAATAATAATAAGGTTCAAATTGGTCACTAACCTGAAAATACAATTAGGCCATTAAACGAAAAGAAAGTGCAATTAGGTCACTAAAAACTCCAAAAACGTGCAATTAGGTCACTGAACACTCCAAATGTATGCAATTTCACCGGATAGCAGGTGCATTGGCATTTTTAATAATTTTTAATATATTTTAATAAAGAACCAAAAAATCAAACAATAAAATTATTCAAAACACACCTTCTCGAGTCGAGTTCGTTGCACAATATTTTTGTAATGCTATTTATCTATTTATGAGTTATTACACATAAGTAATATTTACTTCAAACACATCATCTAGTAACAATTACATGTGGTTTTCTTTGTTATTTAAAAAAAAAAAAAAAAAAAAAGTTCTTCCTAGGGAGTAGGGAGTGAACCAAAGATTTTCAATGATATAGACATCTCATAACATACATCGCATTCATCCAACTCAAGAATGCTGTGATTCCCTGTGAACTACAGAGAAGGATTTTTATTTTTATTTTTATTTTTATTTTTTCACACAGAATTTCTTCATCGCTGCCATCCAATTAACTGCCAATAGAAGGAAGCAAAGAAAAACAACGTAGAAGACATAAAAAAGAAAAACCCTAAAAATGGATGAGATTGACGATGAATGACAAGTACTTTTGTAAGTGATCCCATGTGAATGTAAGCATCTCGATCTCGGGAGATGCAACCTTCCAACAATAAACCAGACATGTATTTATCATTTACCCACTTTTTGCCACGCCTTCCACTACTGCCTTCCCAGACCTTCGTGTTTAGTGCATTCTAACAATGACATCAATCTCCTCTCATCTCTCATCTCTCATCTTCACATCAACCCTAATTTTAACTTTAATAATTACCCACCAGAGAATCAGAGATAACTACACGTGCTTCTTTAATTTTAATTTGATCACCTCTAATTACTCTTTTTTAATTAGGCACAAAATATCCAAAACATGTTAAAACTAAACACTAATCAATTATTTTTGTATCTAGTTTTGAACGTGTTAACAGATCATGTACATAATTATCAAGTCTAGATCAGATAAATCCAACCTTAACCCTAGTTGTCAAAAGATGAATGAAGTAATTAATTAACTCAGGATATTTATAGACAATTGATTCAAATCAAGAAAGTCAATAAACTTCAACTAAGAGTTAAATTTAAAATTTTGTGATCAGATCACCAAATCAAGTATAGTTAGTTGTCCCTAATTATCTTTTTCTGGGCATTTAGATTCCTTGGTTTCTTGAAATAATGCTGATCTGATATTCTTTTTGTCTCGTATATAATCAGTGAAGACTAATAAGGGGGTGATTAACAGATTATCCTCAGAAAAGAGACAAAACAAAAGATAATCTTGATTTTCAAACGTTGGGCACTTTTCTAGGTTGTTGGTTTTGGTGGTCACTTTTGCTGTATACTCACGAACTTACCAACAGCCTTTGATAAAGAAAAGCTCGGGTCTTCTGGGTCGTCGTCTTCTGTTCATTTTCTGCCAAAATTTTCAGCTCAGCCATTCTTCTGGGGCGAATATGTGGGTTGAATCGCCAGTAAAAGTTCGTTAAGAGCTGACGTTGTGACTGGGCTTTCAAATGGCGTAATTTGACAGGATTTTTCTGCAGATTTAAGGAAAAATGAAATCTTTGAGCGGTGTTGGATTGGCTATGAGTGTGGTTTTTGGGTTCCTTTTAATGGCGCTTCTCGCAGAGCTTTACTATCTGCTATGGTGGAAGAGGAGGATCGCAAACGCCAGAATTGAAGACGGCGCCGCCAAAGAATTCTTCTTCATGTTCTGCGGGAAAAACCCGCCGCCGCCGCCGCCGTCTTCTTTAACCATGAAGCCGCCGCCGCTAGAAGTTTCCAGACCACCAGACAACCTAGTACGCCACGAACCGCAACCTCGTACCGACGACACCGAAGAAGAAGAAGAAGAAGAAGAAGAAAGGAGCATGGAGGCCGAGCTTATGATGCTTTCCGGCCCGGCCCGGTTTCTCTGCACAATCAAGGAAGAAACAATGGAGGATTTGGAATCAGACGACGGCAAGGGGAGAATAATGGAGACTCCGTTCTTAACCCCCATTGCTTCGCCGCCGTACTTCACGCCGCCATTAACGCCGGTCAACCATTTCTTGCCCGCAAAAGAAGAAATCTCTGTCCCTGTGGACCCTCACACTCCGGCCCGACAAGAAGAAGGGGATTCCCCGCGGCCATCTTTTAAGTTCTTGAGAGATGCAGAAGAGAAAGCGCAGAATCATCAGAGCAGAAAGGAGAACGAAGAAGCTTCTTCTTGTTGTTCGGAAGAGGAGCTTCCTTATAAAGATGATTCGTTTATTACGCTGGTGTTTCCGAGGAGCCGAGAAGGGGAATTTGTTTCGGAGTTTTCTTCTTCTTCTTCTTCAGTCTCAAGCTCTTCTCAGGTACTTCCACTTTCTTCTTCCCCTTCAAGCTTCGTATCACCGCCCACCAAATAGAAATGGCGGCGCTGCTCCGACGACTAATCCACTGTTCATGCTACATTAATATTCTTCAACATATGATGAACTAATTAATATATATGTTATATATGTAATGTAGTGCTTTCATTTATTATTTTATTCCTTTCTAGATGTGTTAAAACTGAATTAACTATTCAACTACCTTTTGCCCATAAGTCTTCTTTAGTATAATTTGATTCTTCTTCAAAATTATTGAGCTAAGTCTATGCTGATCATTCTTCCACCCAAAAGTATGCACACATTTCAATAATAATGGACAGATCATATAAAAAAGGTAAAAAAGAATATTTCAATTTGTGCCTATGATTACTTTTTTGAGACCTATTGTTTATATATTGTGGAGAGCCGGAGAGATAAAAATTGAACTCATGCCCATGATCATTCCTTCCGGGGCCTATTGTTCATATGTTTACATGGGAGCAATATGCCAACACCAGCAAATTATACTTTGGACTATAAATGTTAGTTCATTTTTAATATGCTGAAGATTCATTTTTCATGGTCAATGCTATAATAATTAGGACAACATTCAAATCACATAGTGACAGTGAACTTTGCTCGCACGGGCTTAGTTCACTGGTTCAGGTATTTGGTATTTAGAAGAAAAAAACTTTGCCCACATAGACTTAGCTCACTAGTTTAGCGGCTCAAACCTCGACAGTGACAGTGAGGATATTATTTACATACTCTCAAATGCCATCGGACCGAGATGGGGAGACCATTATGAGTTATAATTGAAAATTCAACATTTTAAGAGAAGCACTTATCATTGTACTTTTATGTTGATCAAAGGCGTATTGTTTATATTTATTAGCTAGGTAACAAGGTACTTTTAAGTCTTTAACATAAACTATTTAATTGGCTAGAAAAAACCATTATTTAAATATGCATGTCATTATTTTCTTGACATGCACCAATCTCTAACGAGAGCACCAATTATAGATACTCAAGGAAAGAATAAGATTAGCCCAATAAATGGGAGAATAACCCAAGTTTAAATAACGTTTCACAATCTCTTACAGAACTAACATGAAATCGTATAAATAATGAGACAAATAAAAAAGAATCATGAAGTGTTTAGTCTACTATAATTCCACCAGTATAATACTAGATAGCATTGGTAAAATCTTGAAAAATGTTGAAATACATTTCCTGATAGAAACTATATGTTGAAAACCTGATGAATTCTCTGAAAACCCATTCTGATCATGACATGAATGATACAGAGGAGACATAATGAGACCGTTACGTTAGATCAAAATCCACAAACCGCGCTATCAGTTATTCCCAGTTCAATGCAGATTGAAGCGAGGCCGGGCTCCTCTAGCAGACTAAAGGCGCAGAATCCATAGTAGGAATGATACAGATCCGGTAGCGCTCCCGGGACTTTACCAAAACCACCATACTGAGATTGACAGGTATAAAGGAAGTCACGTAAACCTTTCTTATCAATTAGCTTATTGGCTCCTAAGATCTTTAGGACTCCTCCGACCCTATCAAAGACGATCAATCTTGTCAGGCCATAAAGAAATACAAAGACGGTTCATTAAAGATAAGCCGAACGTTAACTAACCAGAACGCATAACAGGTGTCACTGGGTTTGTTCAGTCTTCCTTGGAATCCACCGTCCGCTCCCTGTCTCTGCAACCAAACCGGGATTTGGTGTCAAACCAAATCGAGGAAAGTTGAAATAAAACCGAGATATTTCCATTAAAGGATCGGAAAATAGCATTTTGCACTTTTTTGAGTACTACTGACTCTGTTACAATGTAGTAAACTACTTAAAACTCAATTTGCGGACAAAATACCAAACAGGCATCGTTTGTTATGAATACGGCCATCGGGATAGCCCCATTAGCAAGGAAAGGATAGTCACTCTCTAAAATTCGATACGGGAGTGTACCTGCAAGGTCCAGTCGAGAAGCAAGGGAACATTAATACAGCAAGATGTTCCAGTCTTTGAGAACAAATCATCTTCAATTAATCCCATAAGCCGGAGAGATGCAATAGCACAATAAGTGGCACCACCTGTGATACTAAATAATTACCATCCATGAGTACCTTAAATAATCGGACGCAAAAGAGACATGTTTCTCAAATAATAAACAGACATGTTGAGATTAACGAGAACAATGACAGAAAGTAGGGAAGATTTATATGGGTCCACGGGAGTGAAGCTATTCTTTTATTAATTATGATGGTGATGATCAAACATCCAGGGTTACAAGCATTATATAAATGCAACCCTAAACATATACATGTACAAAAATACCCTTGTACTATACCACGGGGACCCGACCCACTCCGTACATATGAGACATACACGACAAGACACATAGATTCTTAATGTATATAAACCATAGCAAACGAGCACATTGCGGACTCAAGTTCAAATTAGATCAGCAACCGCACTTGTTAATTTGACACTTGGAGAAGAGTAAATTTTTGCGGGTGACCTATACTTCACCACTCTTAATACCTAACCACTTAGATTTTGATTATTAACAAAAAGAGCAACCCGCACTTACTTTAGTAGAAATGTATAACAAATGCTATACTTGTTTTCTTGCAAAGAGATCGGTCAACTTCACCAAAACAAAAATGTGGCCCACTCCACTTCACTATACTTTTTTTCTTTATTCACTTTTCCTTTAATTAAAGAAAGAAGTCTTGGAGATAACATAAATTCAAAAGAGGCAAATGGTTCTAGAGACACCCGAAAAAAAAAAAGCATCTTGTTTGGCTTCAGTTAGATAAAACTACGCGAAGAAATCAAATGTACATACAAAACATATATCGAAGATTAGTGATTGCAAATGCAATAAAAAATCGGTCTAATCTACATTAAATAATAAATGGCACGGGGGCACAATTCAGACAATACGGGAAGCATCACTCACCATGAGATTCGGAACCAGGAGTTAAACCAAAGCCACCATCATACGACTACAAGAAAAGTAAAAGGAACGCGATGTGAGAGCATACTAAGAAAAATATGAAACTCACTCCATAAGAAATGAAAGCCGAAGGTATAACACACAACACAAAAATATAAATATGCTTACGCATTACATACATGGCAATTCAATATGTATTCCTTGGCTTTCTCCCGGTCCATTCCATTCCAATTCTCCAACATGGAACAAATTGCCGCTGGTAGAATAATCATCGACAATTATTTTTGCATTTAAATAAGTTCATTAAGCTAAATTAAGAGCATCGCTTTACCAGCACAATATACAAATCTGAGATCCGTCTCTGCCCCAATATGGATAGGCATAAAACTGAAACATAGTATAAACAATTTTTGATAAGCTTAATGAAAAATTAACGGAAATACAAATTTCTATAAGACGGAGTAATATCACAAATATAAACAATACAATTAGCGTAATACCTCCCGTCAGGCTGCTGAAGTGATCTCATAGATTGCAAGATCGACGTGGAATCAACGAATGATAAGTCATAGCCAACTGTCTTCAATATAGCAAGTGCACAATATGTGCTCGCCAAATGACTGCCGTTAGGTATCGGACCCTGCATACAACAATGGCGTATCCCTTAACCCTCAATCATTCAAATCATCCTAACCATACACACAAATCAACATAACCTGTTTTAAATTTTTAATACCTCATTATCACTGGATTCAAACTGGGAACTTCTAGAACCATGAAATCCATAAAACTGTCCTGCAATAAATTGAAAATTTTCATAAAAATTTCACCTTTTCAATCAAATTCCAGCATTCAATGAGTAAAGATTGCATTTTTTTTTTTTTTCTCATAAAAAGCATAGTACCATTTTCCAGTTCAGCCTCATTCTTCGGATGAGCTTGTAATGATAAAACCCAATTAATCACCCCAGCTTTGTCAACCTAATTTCGAAAAGAAAAATTAATAATAAATTTTAACAATTTTCAAGAATGCAAAAACTTTATGCTGCTGCATTAATTATAAATCACTGAGAATAACTTGAAATTAAAATTGAATGGACAAAATTGGGAGTACACGATCGAGACCGCCGAGGATATCGAGGCCGGAGACGGCGAAGTAGGCGAGAGTTAAGCGGTTGATCTCTTGCCCCTGGTACGCCGACGGCAATAGCTCCAGCATCATCTGTAAGTAGCAGAGGTGGCGATCTCTGTCGAAGAAGTCCAGAGCAGATGTCGGATCCGGATCCGGGTCGGCAGGATCCCAGTAGGCGGCGTCGTCGTCCTCCGCCATGGGGTTTCTTAGGAATCGTGGAGATGGAGCAAAGTGAAGAGTCTGAGACGGAGGTCGTTGGTTGACTTTTTAGTCAGATAGTCATTTAATTGGTCCAATGAAAAACAAAACAGCGTATCTTATAAAATCGACCGTATAAAAATGTGTGTTTGTTTGTTAACCACATCTAAACCTAAAGAGTTAATTTCAATACTGCTACATTACTTTTGTGACAATTCTAAATTTAATTATATATTATTATTTTTATTATTTAACATTTTAGACTATTAAATTTTGGATAATTTTTATTCTTTTGATGCAATTCTATTTTAAACAATGGCATTTCATCTCATCATTTTTTTTTCAAATTTTTGCAATGATTTGCTTATATTTTTCACCTTATCGTTCGAGCGGTGTTTTGTTGGTGAGCTCATTTGACATTTGTTAGAATTGATGAAAAATTAATTTGTCTTTGTCCCCTATTTCTCTTATCATCTAAACCATCTTGATTTTCTCAATATTGTTGCTCATACTAAAGATGATCTCTTTGTATGTGATACAAGAAGACCAATTATTCCTCATGTTAACCGTCGTGTCGAGACCCTCTTGTTTGTTGAAGAAAAGAGTCGATGAGCTCCTTTATCAACTAGACTTGATGGTATTAATACTCCCTTTCTATTCCCTACCCGATCTCAAACGCATCTACATAACTGAAATAAAGAAACGATAATGAAATTGCCTAAAATAGAGTTTTATCAGAAAAAAGTCACC